ACTTTCTTCGACTTTACTAACCCACGATCCTGATTTATCACTTTAAAAGAGACAAAATAAATCCAGCAACTCAAATTTATTATTCCTTAATTTCCAATTATATACTGGAATTATATATGTATGAGTGAGTGAGTGAGTGAGTGAGTGAAGTCGCTCAGTCATGTCCCACTCTTTGCGACCCCAGGGACTGCAGTCTACCAGGATCCTCAGTCCATGGGATTTTCCAGGCAAGAATACTGGAGTGGGCTGCCATTTCCTTATGTAACTATGTTAATACTACATCGCTTCAGTTGTGTCTGATCCTGTGTGACCCCATAGACGGCAGCCCACAAGGCTCCTCTGTCCACAGGATTCTCTAGGCAAGTATACTGGAGTGGGTTGCCGTTTCCTTCTCCATATGTAACTATATATATATCTATATTTTTTTTCACATGGTCTGAAACAAAGGTCTATTGTTGAAAGCATGGGGGAATTTTAAAATTTCCTACTTTTTTGGTTTGCCAATTACTTATGAAGATAATTTATTAGACTATTACAATTCTGGGAATATTTTGTAGTTCAACGATGTCTTTCATTTTCAAATAGAAATGACCTTTATAACTACCAAGTTAAAAGGATTATACTAAAAAAGTCTTTGCTGCTAAAATAGTGTCTCCAGTGTCTGCCATGTCCTAGATAGAATTTTCTTTTGAGAAAACCATAGTTACTTCTTTTCAGTGGCCTCATTCAAACAAACTTACATTATTACAAGACAAGATAAAGGGCATGCTGGTGTTCAAAGGTGTGAAATGCCATTTTTCTCCCAGCATTACATGGTAAGGGCAAATAATTTTTCTTCTTGAGCTTTAGAAATGAGGTCAGTTAAGGGTTTAGGCATTTCAGAGGAAAAAATAAATGTATTTTCTCTACAAGACCATGTAAAATTTATGCGATTCAATGTGAAATTTATGTGATTCAATGCTTCTAAAATCATTTCTAAAACTGAAAATGTTCAAATATTATTTGAGTGTAACCAACATTACACATTTACTGAAAATCCTTATGACCATCATTTTAGAGGAGAAGCAAAAGTAATGTTGACCTAAAATTCTACTTCTGTATTTTCATATCCATTATGACATGATTGATCATATCATACATTCTCCACAAATAGCTTTTATTTTTTCAAAGAATTAAAGTATAGCTGGTTTACTACGTTGTGTTGGTTTCAGGTTTACAGTAAAGTATTCAGTTATATACACACATACATACATTTCAGATTTTCCCACTGCAGGCTGTCACAGTCCCATGTGCTCCGTGGCTGCTCACCCACTCTATGCAGCCGTGTGTGTCTGTTGACCCCAAACTCCTGATCTGCCCCTCCTCCCTTCTCCTTTGGTGACCCTAAGTTTGTTTTCAGCATCTGTGGGTCTATTTCTGTTTTGTGAATAAGTTCCCTTGTATCACTTTTTAGTTAAAGAAGACAGAGAAAAACAAATATCACATGATACCACATATACATGAAATCCAAATAGCTTTTTGATATGTGATATCTGGTGCTTTGAAAGGACAGTGATCTGAAAGATCTGCAGTCTCAAAGGCCTTAGGTCTCCTACTCCGCAAAGTGACATTTTTCTCATTAGAGAAACGGTCTCTGTTTCATTACAAGGCTTTTTGCATCTATTGCTATATTATATAAGCTGAAATTGGTGGTGTCTTGAAATCTCTTCAAGTCAGAGCTTACTTAACCTTGGAGAACATGGCCAATATCTAGGTACAAGTTGATGATACAGAAAGTATTGTTTTGAAATAGTAGCAAAACATTATTTTATCTAAAAATGCTTTCCTTGAACACCTATCTTTTTTAGAAAATAAATTGCATCCAGTTGATTAATGAGATTCTTGTTTTCTAATTAGAGAAGGCTTAATAGTAATCTAATTATATCTCCATAGATTATCTTTACCATGGATTATATTTTGTGAAATATGTTATTAAGTTAAAGTCAGTAGAAGAGAAAAGAGTTTCAGAGCTCGGAAACCCACTGATATCTAAGGAGAGCCTTTAATTTCATATTGGTGTTTATATGAGCAAAACAAGAAATTCACTGAAATCTCTAGTCTTAATCTTTTCAAAGGCCATTACAAAGAAAAAAATACACTATTATCTTTGAAGAAACACTGAAATTAAAGATGTAACTATTGTCAAATATTTAAATTCTAGTTCCCAAACAAACAAACAAACAAAAAACAGAAAGGGCATTCAATCTTTAATTCTAAAATAGCAGCTATTTAGCATTGTGGGATTCCTTATTAGCAGAATTGTACTTGGGATTCTTGTCTGCATGATAAATTGAAAGGATGTTCTCAGAACTGTCAGGAAGTGAGGAAAACAGGCTAAGACAGGGAAACAAGATAAACCTAGAGTGGTTTCAGCTGGAGTCTGGCCTCAGCCTAATCTCTAGCCTGGGGGGTGGGGTGGGGCATGGGAGTTTGAACTGCAGCATTGAAGGTCCATCCAGAGACCTGGGCTGTTATTCTGTATCTGACAGTCGCAGGACACAGTCACCTCCTTGAAAGAAGAATCTGCTAGACATCCCCAAGCAAGGCAGTTCCTATCAGCCTAGGCCAGTCTTCTGGAGAAGTATGTGGTTGTGAGCTGTTTGCAGCCCACCCTGCAGCAGCCCTGAAAAGGAACTCTGGGATGGTACCAGCAAAATCTGCTTAGAGCATGGGTGACATGCTTGTTCTCTCTGTGCCCGCTGGACCAGCCAAGCAGTGAGTGCTCAGACTAACAGCTCAAATTCAAGCAGTAGGCCTAAGTGGTGGTATTTTTTTTTTAAGTGGTGTGTTTTTTTTTTCCAGTTCTTTTTAAAATTTATTTATTCATTTACTTTAATTCCAGGATAATTACTTTACAATATTGTGATGGTTTTTGCCATACATCAATATGAATTGGGCTTTCCTGGTAGCTCAGCTTGTAAAGAATCTGCCTGCAAAGCAAGAGACGGTGGTCGATTCCTGGATCATGAAGATCCCTGGAAAAGAGATAGGCAACCCACTCCAGTATTCTTGGGCATGTGGGAGACCTGGGTTTGATCCCTGGGTTGGGAAGATGCCCTGGAGGAGGGCCTAACAGACTACTCCAGTATTCTTGCCTGGGGAATCCCTATGCCCAGAGGAGCTGGGCAGGCTACAGTCCATGGGGTTGCAAAGAGTTGGACACAACTGAGTGACTCAGCACAGCACAGCAACAACATGACTTGGCCACAGGTAAACAAGGAAAAGCTGTCCCCCGCATAGCAAGGCAGATTCTCAACCACTGGACTACCAGGGAAAACCATATTTTTCTTTTTTTCATTTCATCTTCTCTCACGTTCAATTAACTCAACACCTTAGATCACAAATTTCTAAAATTCTATATAAAAAACAAAGAAATAATCATAAATGTGCTCAAAAACATACTTATATAATGTCTACTGATGATCTATTTAAAATACTGAAGTATTCAAAATATCCAATAATAGAGATTAGAAAGATAATGTGCAGCTATGTAACAAAAGATGACAAAGTTATTAAAAGTGATGTCATAGAATATTTTATGACATGGAACTGCTTGCATTAACTGAAAATAAGAGATTAAAACACAGACTGTGAATATTATCCCATTTTATGAAAAAGTACTAATTGTGCATAAAAAGACTAGCTGTACGTATATCCCATACGTAGAGTGTTGGGTGTCCCAGGTGCCACTGGTGGTAAAGAACTCCCCTGCCAATGCTCGAGACATAAGAGATGTGGGTTCAATCCCTGGGTTGGGAAGATCCCTAAAAGGAGGAAATGGCTACCCACTCCAGTAGTCTTGTCTGGAGAATCTCACGGACAGAGGAACCTGGCAGGTCTACAGTCCATATGGTTGCATAGACTCAGACATGACTGAAGCGATTTAGCACACAGGTACGCACGCATGTACAGTGTTATCTCTGTGTGACTTGGGTGTTTGGATTAAAGGTGATGTATTTGGGATTTTCTTTTCTCATTTTCATTAAAAAAATTTTCTATGATAAGCCTAGGTTTCTTTATTCTTTTGGAATAAGAAAAAGATAACTTAATAATGCCAACTTGAGTGGACTTGCTATTAAAGTCACCCAGACAATTTTCAAGGTTTTTTTTCCTATACTGATAATTCTCCAATTTTCTCATCTGTTTTCCTGAATCTATCCTTGAATATTCAAATGAAGTATGAAATAGCTATTTTTTTATCACTATTTGTAATGTTTATGTCATCCCCAATAATCATGAAATTCTATTTCAGTCTACATGGAAACTTCATTTTTTTTAAATAAACACATGTCAAAGATTTTATTCAACTTGTTGATTAATCACTAAATCAATCAGATGACAAGGCAAATTCACCAGGATTTTGAGGAAGCTTCATATTTTTAAACTTCACTTCTAATATTTCTAGACCCTTTCTTAATTATTCTTTGCATTGTGACATCTAATTTAGAATAAGACACCAATTATTTTGGGAATATGTATTGTAATACATAAATATACAGTAATAATAGTAGCCACTTTGTGGCCTACACTACACAACAGGTACTGTGTTAAGTACCTTGTATAATGTAAGAAATCACAAAAGCACTTTGAAAACTCTGTACTTTAAGGACAAAAGAAAACAACAAATGACTTGATGATCATCTTCTTTTCTACATGTTTTATTCACCTTTAATCAACATGAAATGATCTAGAAAATTTCCCCTGAAACAGCCAGATGTCTACTATTCAATGTGGTCATAAAAGAAGATGCTGGTGGTGGCCACAGAATGCCAAAAGAGAATGAAATATGAGAAATTCAGGGTATCTTCTAGATGTTTTGGAAGATGAGGCTGAATTCCATCAAAGTGGTTTTCCAGTGTTCTCTTTTCCTTTCCTGAGGATGATGCTATGTAGGAAAAGCTAGCAACAAGATTCAGAAATCATGTTTCAGGCCATGCACAAGACTAGAATAACCCTCTCACCTCTTTCTTTACTTCTTCTTCATCTTCCAGTGTCAAAGCAGCCAGTTGTTTAGCTCTCTGCTCCATCAGATTCACATATCGGATTGGATTTGACAAAGCTTCAATCACGTCTAGATAGCAAAGAGACATGTTAGATTGATGGTCCTGGAGATACTGATTATCCACCATCCATCAATCTATCCATCCATCCCTCCATCCATCTATCCAATCACCCATCCATCCTTGTATTTGTTCATCATCTCTCTACTCATCCATCCATTTACTGATTCACCATCCATCTTCCAATCTACTCATATAACTATCTACTTATCCAGCCAACACTTTGGAAATGGACAAGAGTCCACTGGCTGAACCTCAGGAAGAGAGACCTCAAAGGTCATCTCTGAGTTAACCTGGACTAGCTCCAACTCAGGATGTGTCAGTGCTCCAATTTTTAAGTTTTTTTTTTTCCATTTATTTTTATTAGTTGGCAGCTAATTACTTTACATCATTACAGTAGTTTTTGTCATACACTGAAATGAATTAGCCATGGATTTTTAAGTTTTATTTGAGCATTTCATCCAGTTCAGCAATGGCCCACAAATTTGTCCTGTTTCCCACACTGGTGATTCACAGGGGAGACATTTCACATAAAAAGGCTGCTTTACAGACTGTTGAAACAACCCAATGATTTGGCAGTATGGGTATCATTTGAACATGATGCTGTCTAGCTGGAGTGAGTTATGGCTGCCATTTGCAGATTGGACACACGAGCCAAGACTGCCATAGTCTCCACCACTTCCCAGGGTCTCCCACCCAGGTCACTTGGCACCACAAGCATTTAAATGTATGATTCCAGGCTGACATCATCATAAGTTAATTTCTATAGCTGAAGATTTCACTCATAGAAAGGGTCAGGATTCTAAAACTGGCTGAAGGCAAATTCATTGCACAGACTACATAGACTGTGTAGTATCAGAGAGCATTGGTTAGAAAGTACTGAACTCATAAGAATAATATTACCAATGGATAAAAATGCTCAATAATTAATTGAGATTTAAACTAAAACTTATTAACAAAGGTTTAATGAATTTACTTCTAAACATGCATACAAACATAGAAGTGATTCTGAGGTCACACTCTCTTGCCTTTGTTTAACCCAGTTTTCTTTCCACTGAGTCACAAAAATATGGATGACCCCAGATGGAGATACCCTTTCGAGTTAGGTGGTTTACCTGCATATGTGTCTGGGACGTAGTCTTTCACCTCTATGTAGACAAAGAGTGCTGGCAGCATCAGAGGCTGGTTCCTCTCGTTCCTCAGGCAGATATAGTGATAGCCTGGGGGGTGACATGATACCGTGCATCACTGTTTCTTATAATGCCAAACATCTATTTGATCGAAGTGTTTATTTCAGGTGACTCTGGATGACCAACAGATTACTTCTACCTCATTTTATTCATGTGGTCTTGAGTGATAGGGTATTATTTTTCTCATCAAACAGGAAAATAATGTTGACTCTGATTTTTTTCCCCTCTTTCCAATCATCTTTTTCCCCACAAGAGAGAATTTGAAACCATGTGTCATAGATTGAATTATCAGTCCAAATTTGTGCCCTGTATATGATTTCTCGGTTTGGGGGTTAGCCTGTTTGGACAATGGGATGTCAGTGACGTGTACAAGCAGAGGCTTTGCATGCACTTGCAGATACAGGCATGCATCCCACTGGGCTGCCGTGAGATGCCTGTGAGGGCAACTGCTTCTTCACCTGGAGCCCCGGAGTGGGCAGGTGTGGCAAGCCCACAGCCTCAAGCACAGCTGCACAGCCAAAGCGCACCAAGCCCTACTACTCCACAGACCTGTGAGCACGAAGACGAAACACATTTCATAAGCCTCTTAATTTTCAGGTAGTTTGTTACACATAATATCTGGCAAGAGTTGACTGGCCTAGTAGTCATAGCACATCACAAAAACATAATATTGCCAGATTTAAATATATAATCTTATAATCCTCTTTACAGAGCGAAACCCCAAAACAACAAATAGCTTCCTACATCATTCTTTAACAATCTTACAAGGCAGTGATGATTTTCTTTACAACTTTGATAAAAAGTTTCCCACAATGCTATCCATACCTGGCCGAATTGCTTGTACTGGCAAGATTCGGTGACCAATAAATTTACCACCTTCTTCGTAAACTGCTATCCTCAGACAGGCTAGAGAAGGAAGAACCACCTATAGGACATTAAGAATACATGTGGTTACAAGAAGGAGTGACTTCCAGAAACAATTAGAAAGGTATTATTCAAATAGGCCCTACTTTTTCAAATCCAAGTAGAAGTTTCTGCTGAGCAAATTGATAAAAAGTTAAGTTACTGCTCTATAACTTGGATTTTCAAAAAGAGAAGGATTACCAGAGAGATGGCTTCATCTGTGTTTTATCACCTTTTCAAAATGAGGAATCTGTTCAACAAATAGACCATTTTCTTTTGACATGAACATTCTCAAGGCAGAGGTGACAAAAGTTCTATGTTTAAATACTGTGAGTTAATGGTTTAATCACAGTTTGAGCATTCATTATTATATTTTCAAAGCAAACTACCTTTGTACTTTGGAGCAAAAATTATAAAGTAGCTTTCAAGGATAGCTTTCAAAATGAGATTGCTTATTTGTAAATTTCCAAATTAACCATAAGTAATTGCTTACTTTTTTTTCTCTCAGTGTAAAACATCTGGGGTACATATGCAGCTATACTATATCAACATGTCAAGACAATGAGGCCAATTATACCTTAAATATGTATTTCTTCGGAACATAAGAAAACTAACATTTATTGACTACTTTCAATGGGTTACATATTTTCTAAATGTTTTCAGTATATTAGGAAATACTCATATAAGAATGCTATGAAGTAGACAGTACTACTAGATCCAATTAACATAAGGGAAAAAAAGCTGGAGTGCAGAGATCTTTACCACAGATAAGATACACTATTTGCAGAAGACTGCCTTTGTAGATATTTTGGCCAGATAAAAGCAAAGGGTATGTTAAGAGTGCACTCTACCTTCAATAGAAAGCACTTACTGTCTTCCTTTTTGTGTAAACCATGTGTGAAAAAGATCTGTTTTTTGGTGAAAGCAGAGGGAAAGACAAGTCGAATGTAAAAGGTATTAACTCTATCAGATAGAATCCAGACAAGTTACAAAGATCGACACCAGTGGTTGGAGATTCTAGGGAGTTTAATTGCTATGCTTTTTAAAGGAAGCATGGACTTCCTTTCTCTTGGCTACCATATTAGTCCCTATTTACCACTCTACTTCATTCGAATTATAGTGAAGACATATCATTTATCACTTGTATTATGAGAGNACAACTCTTAAAAAATGAATAAAAATTATACAAGAGAAAACTTTAGGGAGAGATAAATGCTAATGATGAATGCTGAGCCATAATCAAAGTAAAACAGAAACAACAGTACAAATATTATTTCTTTTCTGGTTAAAGAATTGGTAGAAGAATAATGAAAATGCCAGCATTAGGAGTTAATTAATAAGACAAAGTTGTATAGGATGAAATACATGAACAAGCTTGAAAAGTTTAATGAGATTATGGCTTTTATATTTGAAAGATATTATCTATTAAAAGTTAAAAATTGATTTTTAGAGCCAACTGAATATAAATATTTTTCTAATACTTAAAAACTTTATAAGAGAAAAAAATTCTCATTTTAGCATGATTGTTCAGTTCAGTTCAGTTCAGTCACTCAGTCATGTCTGACTCTTTGTGACCCCATGGACTGCAGCATGACAGGCCTCCCTATCTATCACCAACTCCCAGAGTTTACTCAAATTCACATCCATTGAGTCGGTGATGCCATCCAACCATCTCATCCTCTGTCGTCCCCTTCTCCTCCCACCTTCAATCTTTCCCAGAATCAGGGTCTTTTCAAATGACTCAGCTCTTCGCATCAGCTGGCCAAAGTATTGGCATTTCAGCTTTAACCTCAGTCATTCAACATAAGTCCAGACCACCTGACCTGCCTCTTGAGAAATCTGTATGCAGGTCAGGAAGCAATAGTTAGAACTGGACATGGAAAACAGACTGGTTCCAAATAGGAAAAGAAGTATGTCAAGGCTGTGTATTGTCACCCTGCTTATTTAACTTATATGCAGAATATATCATGAGAAACACTGGGCTGGATGAAGCACAAGCTGGAATCAAGATTGCTGGGAGGCATATGCCGAAGAATTGATGCTTTTGAACTGTGGTGTTGGAGAAGACTCTTGCGAGTCACTTGGACTGCAAGGAGATCCAACCAGTCCATCCTAAAGGAAATCAGTTCTGAATATTCATTGGAAGGACTGATGTTGAAGCATGATTGTAGATGAAATTAAAAGGTTGCTTCAGAGTACAAATTTAACTCACAGCATAATAGAAAGTCTAGCATTAAAGAAAACTTCTTGTTCATAAAATTCAACTTGAAAGAGTAGTCATAACACCATGCTACTCCAATTCTAAAAGTTGTTACACTTTAATAAAAAGCCACAATAATGATAAAAATACTAAAAACAAATACCAACTTTAAACTATTAAACTCAGTTTATCATCACTCCTAACCACACTGGTTAACCATCCACATGATTGTGGTATCCTTTGCCTAGCTATAAAGCTAATGATATAGCTATACAGCTATAAAGCTAATAATTGTGGAATTAAATGAGATTTTAAAACTACACGTGAATAATCTTCAGACTCGGAGGGGTTCTCGGATGTTATAAAAGTTAGTGGAGACAAACATGATGTCCTTCTGCTCTAGCAACAGAGAGGGAAACGTGGAAAGCAAGTGTTGGTGGAACGAACTCAATGATTCATGTTATCTGATTGACAAAGCTTCACTTTCTGAGCCCCAGTCAGTGAAAGGAGACAGAATCACCAAGATGATGCCTGGGCCGGAAACGGACACAATGGCAGCCTGGGGATGGCCATGGAGACTGGGGAGGCCAAAGGCAGCTGCACGCTGATGCGGTCAGAGGTGCCACACAAGTTAGGAAGTTATGAGGAAGAGGCTGTTTGCATTTACCCCGGGAATACGCATTTCTCCTGAATCATGGTCTCTGTGCCTGAGTGCATGAGACCTGCAATTAACAATCTCTTTGTTTCCTTTGAGGTTCTACATGAGAACTACTTAGCAGACATTTTATAGCATGTTTGAAACTTCCAAGTTAAGTTAGTCATGCTGGGAATTCAGATGCATCAAAGATGGTGTGTGCTTAAGATTTTTTTTTTAATGAATACATTGTTTTCCTTTTGTTACCTTTTTCTGCCCAGCATGTGGATCTTAGTTCCCCACCCAGTGATTGAGCCCACGCCCCCTGCGCTGGCAGTGTGTGGAATCTTAACCACTGGACCCCCAGGGTAGTGACAATATGCTTAAGATTTTTATAAAAACAGACTTCTTAACTAAATTAATAACACTGAGCCTCAATGTTCTCATCAGTAAAATAGGATCATGGAACACCACCAGAGCTCAGAAGTCCATTCCGGCATTTTAAAGTCTATGTCAGGGGATCAAAACAAAGGCAGTACTGCATTCTGGCTCCAGCCATCATGGTGAAGGCAGGATTCTGCTGCAGGGTCTCTGAGGCATTGTGGCCTGTCCATTCAGGGGACACTGACATCCCTAGAGCAGTGTCTCCACTCTGGCCTCGGGCAGCAGTGTACACCTGTCTGGGACTCAACTGTTTCCCCCAGTTTCTCTATGTGATTGTTACAAGCACTTACACTGTCACGGTAGAATTTTCAAGAAAGAATAAACAACAAAGCAAACATATAAAATGAGATGAATCGGCAAACAAGGACAAAAGATTATTTTGATAAAATATTACTATCAGTTTGACCTGACTACAACTACAGTTGAGAAAAATTCTAAAATAGCTTTTTATCCGTGAGTGATGCTTGAGTTTGTCTTAATCAAACTTGACAGGCATTAAACATCCTTTGCTGAAAACAATTTCCTAAACTAAATATAATCTTGAAGCTCTAATTCTGCCAACTCCACTTGGCAGATATATGGGGTGAAATAATTTCAAATGATATCATTGAGAGACACTCCAGTGCAACTTTATTTTTAATCTCTGGTGTAAATGACATAAATTTTAAAGTAAAAATGGGTTCAACAAGCTTAGAATAGATATAAATTAGTGAAATTGTTGCTGTTATTGTTCAGTCACTAAGTCATATCTCTTTGCAACCTCATGGACTATATAGAGTACTTTTTTAGACAGTTTTTTATATGCTTTTGGTTTAGGGTCAACTGGAAAATTGCATTTATGCTTTATTAAAAAGGTTCTTAGTGCTGCAGTTATCCAGTTAAGCAGAAAAGAAATGGAACTTTTAAAAAGTAAATGAAACTCAGCTACAACAAACAATGGCTTATAGGGTTCACGTAAAAAGTTTTTTATAAAAACTATTTCCCATTTATAGTATTAAAAATATTTTCTCACAGCTAAAAAAAATACCTTGTATCTCCTGTAAAATAAATTTCAAAGACTGCAGAAATCATTTGCAATTAATTTTTTGAGGGTCAGATATATGTTTAACGATATGATTCTTATATTTAAGCCACCAGGGAAGCCCTTAATATCATTACTCACTATGTATTATAAATTCCTGAATACTCTGAGAGATTTTCAAAAGACATGCTATGGTAACTGGAGAACTTTTAATCAATCTTTAATAATTTATTGAGAGAATACCTTTATTTTCTCTAATTTTGTTCAGTATGGCTATTTTTCTAAAACTGACAGTGGGAGGGAAGACCAGATTTCTCCAATGAGTCACTAATTTTTGTGGTTTTGGCTTTCCTGGTGGCTCAGACAGTAAAAAATCCACCTGCAATGCAGGAGATCTGGGTTTGATCCCTGTGCTGGGAAGATCCCCTGGAGAAGGGAATCCCCTCTCCATATTCTTGCCTGGAGAAACCCATAGACAGAGGAGCCTAGGAGACCACAGTCCATGGGTTTGCAAAGAGGTGGACATGACTGAGTGTCCCCACACACACACTCATACACACACACTCACACACACACAAATTTCGTGGTACATTTCTCTGTAGGATCTTTGCACCAAAAGAAAGGGCTAGCCATGGTGAATCTCAGCAACTTGCTTCACTGATTTTGGATTTGATTTTTAGCCCATTAAAAAATGGGGCATCTTGTGCATATAGCTTTTGAAAACTTTTAATATTAATTCAGTCTTTAAATTAAATTTAAAAAATATACAAAGGAAGTGAAGACTTTACTGGGAAGTAAACACTTACTGACTAAACTACTTTACACAAAATAGGTGCTGTTGAAGACTTTTGCTGGGTACAGTTGTGTGATGGGGTGAACATACCTTAACAGATAAAGTGTTGGCCACTATGCCATCCACGATGCCTTCTGTGAACGGATCAAAGTGCTTGTCAGGTCTCCTCATGAACTCCGGCTTCAGCCTGTAGCCACTCTTGCCATTGTATTCATACATCCCCATGTTTATCTGCATAGCCAGGTCTGTGTATAAAAGACACAAACCTTACTGGGACTGTATTTATATTTGGAACAAGAACGTAAGATTGTATTACAGTACATTTCTTCTCCCTCTTTAAGAAAAAAGACTTAATCATTATAGAAACTTAGGAAACACAGACAAGAAAAAAAAAAACAACTGAGCTGTCATCTCCAAATCAAGAGGTGAACCGCTGCCAACAGGTTGGTGTAGATTCTGTTTTTCTATTTAAAGTATATGCATCCATTTGCATATATAAAGTGTATGTAGTGTGTCCATTTCATTAAATATCCATCTACTTTAATTTTAACAACTGTATAAAATACTTTTGAATAGATACACCTGAATACACAGACTATACCAGGCCCCACTCTGGACATATTTATGTCTCTTCCAAACTTTTATCATTTATATACAATGTTTTGATTTTACCACACTGTTGTGGTGAAATCTTTGAAGACATCATTAATGATGCTCTTAGGAGTGAATTTTCTAGGTCAGAAAATATGTTTATTGGAAAAGCCTTTTGATAATTCTTACTAAGATGCTCTTCAGAAAGTTTAAATCTCCAATCCATGTTTTTGAGGATGGACTTCTTCATACGTAATCAACAGTAGATACTATAATTCTTTTTTTAATTTATAGGAAAAAGATTTTCTTTAAAATTTTTTTTACTTGTTTGATTACTTACTACCAATATCTAATCACTCATTGACTTGATTCTAATGGACAAAGATTCCTGGTCAAAGTTTGCTAAGACTTGATCAATGTAGGAAATAAATGTCTACATTATTTGCAACTGCTAGAGCTAAACAAACAAGCTTTAAAGTCATAATGAATTTGAGAAGCTATCAATTTGTTCCAGATTGTCTGAGTTACAACTCATCTCTACTTAGATAGACAGTAAAGAAGTGATAGTAGAATTATTTCAAAGTTTCATGTAACAAATTGTTTTTAGAGCAGGGAAAAATAAGTGAATTTTTATCTATCATTTTATAAGTTATTATGACTGTGATACCAAAATTGGATAAACTACCAAAATTATGCTTGAAAAAAATTAACTTCAAAAGCCTAAAAATTAATTGTCAAGTCATATTTTCTAAAAAAAATACATAAGCAAGTATAATTTTTCTCAGGAACAAAAAGATACTTACATATTAGAGATATACTAATAAAATTTATCACATTTCTCACAAAGAAGAAATGAACATACGATCATCCCAATAGATGTCAAAGAAACATTTAATAATATTCAACATAAATTCCTAAAACCAGTGTTGTCATTTAGGTCAAGTGTAGATTCCTTTAGTGTGTAAAAGACTGTCTCAAAGTCACAGCCAGCATCTACCCATTGGCATCATGATGTGAAATTCTCATTAGTGTCAAGATGAAGTGCCCAATCTTAATACTATTAGTTAATATTATTTTAGAACAGTCAGTCCAAAGCAAAGAAACACTGAACAGTAAGAGAAAAGGAGAATTTCCTCTTCCACATATTAAACCATATTATGAAACATTATAATAACAACAAAGTTATTGGCTCCAGGAAGGTGAAAAATTTATTAATGGAGACTTATAAATTGAAAAAATGGACCCAAATTAACAATGAAAAAGGCAACCTCTCATATAAAAGACTGATCTCTTACCAAGATTATACATGAACATTAAATCTATGTGGATGAAAGTGTTAAATTACATGTGAAAAAGAAATTATGAAAGAAATAGAAGTAAAATAAAACATTAATCAATCTGATCTCATCTCTTCCNCCCTAAGGAAATCAGTCCTGAATACTCATTGGAAGGACTGATGCTGAAGCTCCAATACTTTGGCCACCTGATGCAAAGAGCTGACTCAATGGAAAAGACCCCGATGCTGGGAAAGATTGAAGGCAGGAGGAGAAGGGGAGCAGGGGAGGAGATGGTTGGATGGCATCACTGACTATGATGAATTTGAATTTGAGCAAACTCCAGGAGATAACAGAGGACAGTGGACAGTGAGGAGAATGGAGGACAGCCTGGGGTACTGCAGTCCATGGGGTTGCAAAGAGTTGCACAGACTTAGTGCCTTAACAACAACAAAAGTAAAAACACAAACTTACAAGGTTCAACTTCAACACTCAAAGAAATGAAAAAGAACAAGGAGATAGTTGTCTGAATTATTACTATTACTTAATAATAATACTTAACCAAGATCATAAATGTGAGGGAAAAACATATCATACATTGCTGATTGAGAAGAAATCTCATGCCACATTTTTGATGTACAATTTGGCATTGTACAAAGGTTCTTAAAACTTTCACTTCTTTGAATTCTGTTTTAGGAACTTTTCCAAAAGAACATTAGGAGATAAACTTGACAATTTATATTTCAGCCTGTTCTCAGGGCATTATTTATAGCAGAAAAAAAATGTCCTAAAGTTCAGTGATAGGAAATGTGCTTTAGTTAATTCTGAGATGTACTTAATATACAGCTATTAAAATTCATGTTTCCATATAATATTTAAATATATATGAAGATATATATTTTAACAAGGTATTAAGTGAAAAAGCATGTATATGCATAGCCAAAAACCTTATAGATCACAAAGCCAGAAGTTAACAATGTTGAGAGAATCTCTCAGTGGTAACATTCCTGGAAGTTTTATTATTTTTTTAATACTTACTTTGAATTTATATTTTTTAGAATAAATGTGTATTACTTTTAAAAGTGTAAAAATTTGTTTGAAAATAAGTAAAACAAATCAAAATAAAGACATCTACAAACTATTAGAGATAATTCCTCAATATTCAAAATTTGCCTTTTTTTGTAATGGTATTTTCTTTATGAAAATGTGTTTTTGTTTGTTTTTTCAATCCAGCCTGGCAGTCTTTCTCCTCCTTGGGATGATTTTCAGGCACTTGGAAATGTGGCTTTTATAGGATGGAAATGAATACTAACTGTGCGACTTACCCACTGTTTGGAAATTAAGGGCAACCATTTGGCAGCCTGCATTCCAGAAGAGCTGAGGCATATAGTTGGATGAATCCACGCGTGTTCCCTTTGGATATATCCTGCTAAGCTGCATTTTGTTATATCTGGACCATCATGTTAAGTAGTGAATACAATTACAAAAAGAATTAACCAATTATATTAACTGAGAAGCTGCTTCCCATCTTTCACTGAGGGGGAAATGAATTAAAGATGGATGATCTCATTGGACTAGTGAGTGAAATATATAAAAAGCTTTCTGAACAAACAGAATAAATGTGCTTTTATAATACAAATGGAGCATCATCTTTGCAGAGCCTTGTGGGTAAAAACTAATGAAGCAGCAAAAATGGTTGAGTCAACACAATTTTTTGGAAATTATTAAGGACTGGCTTAGTGATTAAGGACATAAAAGGAAATCCAAATGTAGCAAATCATGGGACAGGATGATATTGTGCTTGGCAGAAGCAGATAACATGAACTGTACAGCTATTTTTGAAATGCTCTCTGCTCATTTTCTTAACCTTCTCAGGGAATGCTCTTTGCCAAAACAATGGTACTCTTTATGATTGGTAACAAGGTTAATATAGCACAGAAGATTTTGACTCATATTTTGAATCCTACCATCATCAGTTTTCCATCCTGAGAACCTGTTAGTTATTGAATGATGCTATGTCTTTAAAACACAATTAATTATTGCTATTACCAAGCTTTAAAGAACCCTCTTGCCAATGCAGGAAATGCAAGAAACACAGGTTAGATCCCTGGGTTAGGGAGATCCCCTGCAGTAGGAGATGCAACCTGCTCCAGTATTCTTGCCTGGAAGATCCCATGGACAGAGGAGCCTGACAGGCTACAGTCCATGGGATTGCAAAGAGTCAGACATACCTGAGCGACTGAGCACACACACACACACACACACACACACATTACCAAGTTTGGCAGAGGTCAGCACAGGTTCTGGGTTTGACAGGGGACTTAGGCCAAAGAGGGTTTGAAATTTAACCTGAAACTTGTAAGCTGCATGATTCAGGACAAGTTATTTCCCTTTTCTGTGCCTCAGTTTCTTCATCTATAAAAGATATATGATTCTTACATCATAGGGCTGTTGTGAGGATTACATTAAAACATAACAAAGGTCTACCATGTAGTTAGTACTTATTGATTACTAATGATTATGTCAATCATCACTTTGTTTATGGAGTTAACACCTGTTTCCTTCCCTATTGTTAATGAACTTTAAAGATGATTTTTTTTCTTTTATATAACTAGGACATTTAATATTAATTTTATGAAAAAAATTCAAATGTTTGTGCCATTTTATTTTAATTCAGGAATAAAATAAGAAAATTCTCAACAAATCCATTATTAGCAATATATATTTATTATATATATTATATATTATTAGTAATATATATTTATAGTCTCATCATCATCCCAACTATTTTTCAATTGGACGTCTATTACATGTAAGCATGTGAGACACCAGAAAGGTGTCTCTATTATATATATAATATATACTTTATGCACATCATGTTTTACATATGTATAAAATGCACACACACATTTTACTATGTGATCACTAACCCAAACAGCAAGCCACCAAGCTGGTATCATCATTTCTGTTTTACAGGTGAGAAAAGGGAATTGCCAAGGGATTAGGAGCTTGATAGTGTGAAGGTAACCTTGAAATCTTTCTTTACTCCAAGGCCAGTTTTCTTCCACGGGCCAGACTATCCCTCTCACCATTGCATAAGAAACCTGAAACTATTTATCACTCCCAAGTGACAGACTTTAGCCATTTCATGCACCTTTTCCTTATTAAAGACAAAAATTAAACCAATAGCACAAGACTTCATTAATGTCAATTCAGCACACATCCGTCAAATCAAGGATACTCTACAAATTCCACCGGAGACTTTGTAAGTTGCTCAAGACCTTTGGTTTCCACAAAGGAAGACATCTCGAAGCTTCTATTTCTTCCTGTGTTAACAAAAGCAAAAAAAGTGAGAAATAAAATTCAGTGTTATAAATAAGAGCACATAAGAAGTAGACAAATGTCCCGTGAAACTGAGGGCAAAGACCCTCAAATAACTTTCATATTTAATTTTGTTTTAATTTTAATTTTCAGTCTTAGTTGTGTCTTCTAATATTTGCTACCTGGTTAGATGTCGTGCAAGTTAGGGACATGGTGGCCTCAGTGTTGGAAGATGAATTTTAGACGTGGAGAGTGTGGCCAGGTAAGCTAATCTGTCAAAAGAGGACCTTTTGTTCTAAATCCATTCAGATTGGTTTCTTGAAGCCATCACTGAGAACTAACAATACAGGCCACGTCCACATGTACATTCCTCCAGATGCTGACTACCTCTACTCGACTATACCCACATTGTCATCACCTCAAACTTGCAGGCACCCTTTGGTTGAAAGAACTAACGTGACCTTAGAATTTTGTTATTTTAAAGCAGAAGGATCCTTGAACATTTTCCAGTCAGATGGCCTCATTTTCAGATTACACGTTGGGGGCCACAGAGATGAATGTCCTAGAAGGTCTCAATATTCTTGGACACGGAGCAACATCTTGAAAGTGAAAGCCAAGCTTCCAATTAGAGTGAGAGAAACCAAAAGAAGTTATCTTAGTTTAGAAAGGCAAAGAGCCAAACAGCTTCTCTGACCTCTTTCCAACTAGAAATCGCACTGCTACATATAAAGACATGTCACTCGGAGCTCAGTGATTTAAACTGAGTTACCGTCAGGCACTGTTCCCTCTTTGATGCCCATTTTCCATAATTAAAGCCTCATTTTTCTTCCTAGTTATTCCCACATTTCTCCTTTATCCACCTCTTCACCTTCCCCAATTTAATAAACTCTAAAGGAAACCCTTGTTTCTCTTATTTTGGTCCATCAAAATTTTACTTTCATATGACTGTTTTAAGCACAGCTGTTAATTAAAATTAAGTCACTTTAATAGGTTCTTTGTAAACTATGTGCAGTGTTCTTTTGGAAAAAGTGAGAAAATGGTATAAAATACAAGGAGAAAGTGCTTGTTTGTACATCTTTGGCTGGTGCTGCTGTTATCAGGTTCTTAAGGGCCTAAATGTACCAGCTCCTTTCCAGTTTGGCTACTTGTCTGGGAGCTTTTGAATCATGAATTAAACAAACATTTAACAGCCAGAGACAGTTATAGTAATATAAAAATAACTACTTTATAGGATGTTTCACAGCTTGTGGTAAGAAGACTAGTAATTATAACATAAAACAAACTGTTGAAATTTTTATGTCTAAACCTTATTGAAAGTTAGGCTTCCCTGGTGAGTCAGACAGTAAAGAATCTGCCTGCAATGCAAGAGACCCCAGTTTGATCCCTGGAGAAGGGAATGGCAAGCCACTTCACTATTCTTGCCTGGAGAACTCAGTGAACAGAGGAGCCCAGTGGACTATAGTCCATGGGGCCGCAAAAAGAGTCAGACACGACTAAGCACTTTGATACAAGGGCTCCTTTCTCTTGCATCCAGTATGGATGGGCTGTCGGACGAAGTAAAACATCAAGTGATGTGAAGTTAATTATATATTCCCCTAAGTATATAAAACTTGGGCTGAACAAATGAAATGTGGGTCAATTGATTTGGTTCCATTTCTATTTATCTGGATCAGTCAAGTCTCTGCTTCCTTTTAAAGGATGGTTAAATAGTTTATTTCATCACTGTCATTTATATAATTGCACTGTGTGGTCACGAATGAAAAACAATGTAAAATCCTCAATTAACTGTACACTGGTCTCGTATCTTTTAGATAATCACGTATAGCCTGTAGGTCTATTAAGAATTTTGGGGAAATATCATGGAATATGTTCTCATATGGTTATATAGATGCATACAATACATATAAATACATACTTACATATATCTGGGGCTTCCCAGGTGGCCCTAGTGGTAAAGAACCTGCCTGCCAAAGCAGGAGACTTAGACTCTGGTTGGATCCCTGTGTCAGAAAGATCCCCTGGAGAAGGGCATGGCAACCCACTCCAGTATTCTTGCCTGGAGAATCCCATGGACAAAAGAGCCTGGTGGGCTATAGTCCATAGAGTCTCAAAGAGTTGGATACGATGAAGCTACTTACCATGTACATTTATTTAGATATATAAAAATCAGATAGTAAAGACATGCACATATTAAAAACTTCATAGAATAGTTCTAATAAGGGTAATATTTTTTTGGTTTAATTTCTTGTGGGTATAATATACTGATTATATACTACACTAGGGGTTTTTCTCCAGGGAAAACTTACTTTTTGAAATTTCAAATGACTCGAACTTGACTGGCTGGATATAGTTCACCAGATTAGACATCTCTTCTGTGGCCATGGCCTCGCTCCCTGCGGTCCCCTGGAAGCAGGAGTAAAAACGTTTCCAGAGTCAGCATCATGTTAGTGAGGGTTGTTTTCCCAGGGCAACAATCAAATGACCCATGAGGGCAGAAGAGGACCACTCCTTTTCTGAAAACAATTATTGCCAACAGAAAATGGATTAGAGGAGAAAGGAAAAGCAGCACCTCGCATTACACGGTGAGTGGCGGGAGGAGGAAGGTCTCCGGGCGGCTGCCCGAGCACCCAGTCCCAGCAGCCTCAGTACCACCGGAAAGCTCGTGAGAGAGCAGCCTCCCAACCCTCCTGAACCAGGATCTGTAATGTACTAAGGTGGCCCAAATGCACAGTAAAATGAAGAAGCCTCAAGCTGTGTCTCATCTGCCAAAGCAGGGAGTCTGCAGGTGATGTCTGAAGTTAATACATCAAGAATTCATTGTACGATACATGCCGGGGGGTCACTGCCCACGCCCCGTAACTACTGAAGCCCGCTCACTCTGGAGCTCCTGGATTGCAACCAGAAAGTGCACTGCCAGGAAAGATTCCCTCTCACACAACCAAGATTCTGCAGGCCATGACTGAGACCTGACACAGCCAAATAAATCAATAAAATAGTTAAAAAAGAAGTCATCAGACTATACGAAAATGAGTATGCAGGTGACCACTGGATGAATGGAAAACTGTTACTGAAAAGGGTCGCCAGTGAAAGTGGGTTGGGGTGGACCAACAAATATTGCTTTTCTTTAGAACCTTTCTGCTCGGCTCCCTTTCCAGCTCCTGGGCACCTATTAAGCAAGCAGCACAATGCATCTTCCTTGGTGGTTCAGTGGTAAAGAGTCCAGCTACAGTGTGGGAGAAGACAGGTTTGATCTCTGGGTTGGGAAGATCCCTTGGAGAAGGAAATGGCAACCACTCCAGTATTCTTGCCTGGGAAATTCCATGGACAGAGGGACCTGGTGGGCTACAGTCCATGGGGCCACAAAGAGTCGGGCGCGACTTAGCGACTACACAATACAGGAGCTCAGGTTCTAGAGCCAGTCTGGGGCAAGTTACTTAACTGCTCTGTGCCTCAGTCTGCCCACCTATAAAATCAGGAAAAAATTAGTCTCCATAACATATAGAGTTCTTGTGATTATTAAGTGTGTTAATTTATGTGAAAGAGCTCAGAACAGTGCCTGGCATATTACAGTCTCATGTTACTTTAGCTAATATTAGCTATTATATAAATACCACTTTGATAAAGCTTTTAATAAAGAAGAAATCCCACACTGCAGTACTGATATGGGCAGACCTCTGTAGGCTGATTTAACATTTTCTCCCGCTTCTAGAAGGCAGAATACAAGGGAGACAAGGTTTCTTCTGAAAACTTCTGTAGCAAGATTAAGATTAAATGCTAATCAGGAATATCCATTGTAAATGGTCATCCAATTAGTAAGATAGTTTTAAAATGGTCAAAAGGTACTGACAAAAAGTTTACACAATTGAAATAATTTTCAGGAAAAGCTACTTTGTAATAGTTTTTCTTCTGGGTATTAAGTTGAAATTTAGTGGGGGAAACATAATTAAGAATTTAGACTACATTAAAGGAAATAATTATAAGAGGAAGAGCATCATGTCAGAACAGCTTATTATTTGTTATTTATCTTTATTAATTAAATTGTAAAGATACAACTACTGAGACATACTTTTCAATATATTTGAAAGCAGATTCAGTACAAATTTTTTGAACAGGACTCCTGGTAAAAGTTTTAAAATGTCAATTGACCTATCCTTGGTTTGCTTCTAGAATCTGTTCAGTTAATATTTGAGTTATTTGGGGAATCTTGAACTTCTAAATATCAAATATACCTAAATATTCAGTAGAAATCTCTAGTGGTTCCAAAATTGTAAGAATGGGGACTTATGAAGGTCCAGTGGTTAGACCCCAGGCTTCTACTGTTGGGGCTTGGATTCAATTCTTGGTCAGGAAACTAAGATCCTACAAGCCAGGCAGTCCAACAAAGGTCAAAATCACCATGAGGAAATTAATGTCAAGTTTACAAACATTTCTCCAAAACTCAAGTCTTCTCTGGGCTTTGGACCATGACATCCATTTAACTGTCTCAAAAACTGAAGTGGGAAGATGGAGATCACAATTCAAGATCACAAGATCTTGAATTCACCCTCAAGATACTACATTTGATGAAAGACAGCCTCAGCAAAACTGTTGTTGAGAGAGAACTTTACTTAACACAATACTTGGTTTAGTGATCAATTTTTGCACTTACAGTTTTAAACTATTTTTACCACTAGATGGCAGAAGATGACCAGGAACTACATTCAGAGCAAGCAGACTGGAATGGCAAGTTGGTGGAAAGTCTCTGACCAGAAGTCAAGCCCTAGAAACCTACCTCATCCATTGAAGACTTTTTACAGTCATCATCATCGTCATCATCGTCACTCTCTGTATCAGCTTCTCCTGTCAAATTTTAATAACAGATCATGAAGTAAACAAGCAATTACACGTTGGAAGCACATGTGACATGTATATTTAGCAAACATTTCCTTGAAGTTGGCCTTTCACGAAAACTATCCTTTTGGATATTTAAATTTTATTAATGCTAGAGGGTTACACTGTGTTTGAATGTTTTTTCTAAATCTGATGTGTGAAATTTCCAAACTCTATAAAAGATGCTTGTCTTAGCATTTTTGTCTATGTTTTGCAAAGCACATGGCATCTTATACAGTTAGCTCTCTCTGGTGCACCTGTCCCATCTTGATGTATACATCCTCTTTCAGGGTCTTTATGACCCAAACCAGATAAACGGTCACTTTTCCACCTTTCCCTCTTCTTCTCAGCCCTAACTCTTCATGTGACTCTTGGCCAGCGCTCAGTGACCTTGGCCAGAGAGGACCTCACGGAAGCGGAAGTCGAGGACAAGAGCTGGGAGAGGAACGGGGGCTATAGGAGCAATCTGATTCTCCAGAACTGTAAGGTACCGACTGTATCCTGTGATTTGCCTGCAGGCTTATTTGATGGAGGCATTGCTGTCTAAGGGCTTCCCAGGTGGCACTAGTGGTAAAGAACCTGCCTGCCGATGCAGGAGACGTGAGATGCAGGTTCGATCCCTCGGTTGGGAAGATCCCTGGAGGAGGGCATGGCGACCCACTCCAGTATTCTTGCCTGGAGGATCCCGCGGTCAGAGGAGCCTGGCGGGCTACGGTCCAGGGGGTTGCAAAGAGTCGGACGCAACGGAAGCACCTTAGCAGGCACACAGGCATGAACTGTTGTCTAAACAGTGCATGTATCTTTACAGATGGCATATGCTATTTAAAAGGGCAGAGTAAAATGGGTGAACTCTTAACATAATTATGCATGGGGATCTCCCACAATCAGACCTAATGCAGTTTCATACTTAGCCAACATGCTGTCATTTCAGTAGACTTTTTCTCTCCAAAGTTAAGGTGGGTGTTTACACCCTTAATCATCGTTTCATTCTTAAAGAGTCATACTGGCATCAGCATTATGTTCTTCACAGCTCTGGGATTCAGTCAGACCCAGTGATATCAGTCATATATCAAGATCTTCAAGTAAAAAGTAATGAAAGCATACTTCTAAATTGTTTGATTTGGCTTCCAGTGTCCAGACAGTGCAACAGCATAATAAACCCAGTAGATGGCAATCTTGGCTCGACAAGGAGGCAGCTTACATGGCCCAGTACCTCCCCTACCTGCTCTATACTAACTCCCCTGCTCCGGTTCCGTAAAGGACACTGCCACTACCTCCAAGAAGCTTATTAATGTTTTCATTTGGCTGACCACGAGAGCAGTGGGCAAAGTATCCATGAAATAATCTTTAGAGGAAAAAGTTGTCTGGGACCAACATGGTTTATTATTTACGGCTTGTTTGTTAAAGAAAGCCACATATAACTGTTTTATGAAGCTAATATTGCATTAGTCAATAAGGGTGAATCAATTGCACTTTGAATAGAAAACATTGCTTATTCTATAGAGATACATTCTTTTAAGAGGTTGATGCAAAATTTCTTACAGTCAAATTTATTGTCTCAAGTTTTGGTAACTACTTTTTTTTCTTTAATTAAAGAGGAGGTTCTTTTTATTGAGTAATTTAAGCGTGCTTCATGGTACAGCACACCAGAATTTCAAATAATCATGCCATTCTCTGGTTTATGTGGGAAAGAAAGACTTTGTCATCCTTTACTCTATGAGCAGGGACCTGGTTTCTCCCTTAGTTTTTGGAGGGAACTTGAAGGAATCCTGTTGCGCAATTTTAATAATAATAAATTATCCTAGTTCTTTAAGACAAGTGTACAGGCAAAGGGATGGATCTCTTGGGGGAAGATCTCGCCAATAGGTGCTAAGAAAAGTAGATTAGCTTTGGTATAAGAAATATTTCAAGTTTTTCAAGTTACTTGAGTTCCCAATACTGAGCACATCTACAAGCCAAATGGCAAATTAGTAGTGGTCTTTATTCAGGGGCCTACTTACATATATAAATGTCAAAAAATTTCCATCACAATAAATAAAGATTGCACAACAGAGTATGGGGCCAGTTTAGGAAATCCACTGAATTACTAACAGATTGTGGCTCTTTCTCTGAATTAAGCAATAATGTTCATCGCCTGTAAAAATCATCATTTGTGTTATGCATCCAGTTAATAAGAGGGAGAGAACTGATGAAGGCAGATGGTAAAACAACAAGCTCCCACACACAAGGGAAGACTCGGTTTACTCAAGGGATAGAATCGTGCTGGGAAACTGTTGGCCTGTTAGTGCCCTGCTTTCCAAAACTTCAAAAAGAACATTCTCACTGAGAATAGAAGTTACTTTTGAAAAAAGAATAAGAATTGTGTAGTTTTAAACACACTTTTAAAAACTACCAAAAAAAATCTTTCTAGGAATTACATAATGTCTGTGGACAAGGATTTTAATGTAATAATAATTTACATTATAATAATAATAGAATATATAATATAATGTATAAATTAAATAATAATTTAATGTACCAATACAAGTAATTGGTAACTATGATGGAAAAATAGAAGAAAAGATAAATTGGGCTCTTGATCAGCCTTTTTTTTTTTCCTGATTTACCTAGAGTTTATATTTTAATTTTTAAAAATTATTTTTAAATCTTTTAATTGACATATGATAGATATACAGAGAAGTATGCATACCACATGTGTACAGAAATGGTACCCAGATCAACAAACAAAACATAACCAGTGTTCAGAAACCTCCTTGGGTCCCTTCCTGTCACTTCTTCACCAGGAGTAACCCACTCTTGACCTCTAAAAGTCCTGGTTAGTTCTGCCAGTTTTGTACTTTATATGAATGGGATCAGACAGTGGATACTTACTTTTGCATTAGACTTCTTTTCCTCAACATTATGTTTCTAAATGAGAGTCATCTATGTTGTGTGCACTGTAGATTGCTACACATTATTCCATGAGGTGAATGCAATGTATTTATCTGTTGATGGGCTATTCTGAATAGCGCTGCTTTAAGCAGTTCTTGTCCATATTTCTTGGTGAACATCTACATGCACTTCTGTTGGCCATATACCTAGGAACAGAATTCTCTGAGGCACAGGAGCTTCAAATGCATCTGTTCAGTTTAGCTTCTGCAGATGCTGCCAAACACTTTTCCAAAGCCACTGTCCCAATGTTAGCTAAATTTTTATTGAAGAACTTTCTAGATTCAAGCTTAAAGTTTGTTTCACATATTCAGCCTCCAATCAGGAGATCTTCATAATGCCATCACTTCAGATCTTTTCAGACTGCCAAGATTCTGACTAGAACTGGAAAAGAACTTAGACTAAATGACAAATAATTCAAAGGAAATGGGTGACTGTTTTTAATTCTTTTTTCATCAATCACAAAAGTCTATTTCAACTTAAATCTAATATGAAAATAAGTGATACTAAACATCATCTAGTAGCTCTTGAAAGTGCAATGAATAAGATTCCCTCAAGCTCCAGAAAGCGAGGCAGCCCTGTGATGGCTGGAGTTTAGCCTGGTGAGGTCACATGGGCCTCTGCCTCGCAGAACTGGGGACTCATATGTTGGTGCAGTTTTAAACCACCAGCTTTAAAACAAATAGAAAACCAACACAGTTTACTGTGCCCAGGTGGAAATGTCAAAAGTCCTCAGTTACTTCCAGAGCAGCTGTTCTTAAACCCACACAAAACAGAGGAATGAGAGTCTACCAGCCCCTCACCGGCTCCTGGGGACGAGGGCTCAAACACACTGGAGGAGTCGCTGCACGTGTTTGAAGCTTGTTCTGAGAGCTTCTTCTTGCCACTTCCTTCTGACGACTTGTGTGATTTCTTCTTATTTTTCACCAAAATTTTGTACATTAAATCCATAGGACTTGGAAGGGGAACTCCAGATTCCAACTAACAGAAAGAAAAACATATTCTTTAAAAACACTGACCTTTCCTTTCAGATTCTATCCCCAAACCCAAGGAATGCATTAGATACCACAAACTTCTAGATTGTTCTTTACTACCTTCAACACAGCTCATTAAAGTATCTTATGTAGGGGCTGGTTTATAGCACTTCCTTTTTTCACATGAAAGGTATATTTTAAATACTGTACCTTTTATTTTTCCACCAGAAATCTACATGAATACAGCCATAGACATGTATTGGGTGACTTGGCCCACTAACCTAAAGTTTCATGAGTTTTATGATTGACCCTATGAATCCAACCATCTTGATTTAGAACAGATTGGAAGGCCTTGGCTAGGATTATCAAAGGATGGAAACCAGTTACAGTGTGACTCCTGCCAGGAAGATGGCAAAGACAGGCAGGAGCTTCTGGGAAAGTCCTCAGAATCCACTTTTCAGATGATGCAGTTTAAAAGCGGCAAAGTCCCCATCCTGGCATGATACTGTTAAGTGGCACATCTTGGCCTCAGCAGAAGTGGACTGTGTGGCTTCAGATTTACCAACCACCCTGAGATTCAAGCTGTTTGCAAGCCTTCTTTCTAGTTTATTCAGCTTGTACATCTAATGGGAAAAATCAATTTCCCATGAGAAGGTCATTATATATTATATCGAGAGCAAGTGTTCAAGTCTCAAGACAGGTCATTTTTAGAAAGTCTATGAGCTCCTAGAAGCGGGTCCTCTATTCTTCACTTGCAACCAGTCTGGGGACTGGCATGAAAACAGGAGAGACAGGTGGAGACTGGGGAAGGGGCTGAGGAGCGAAGAGGCTCTGAGACCATCTTTCTGCTGCTTTCCTTCCCGACGTAGGGATACGACCACAGCAACAGGGCGGCCTGGATTCTGCTGGGACAGGCAGGAAAGAGAAGCGTGGCCAGCAGGGCAGGCTGGAACGTCCCCGCACCCTGGCCCGGTCTTTCGGAGGGGCGCGGCGAGGGTCCAGGAGGCGCTCAGGGCCTGTGCCCCGGGGCCCCTCTGTGGGCGGAGGGTGTGGTGGGGGTTTTGCAGGCCCGGCCGGCTCTCGAGGGGCAGGGGGCGGCGGAGGGTGAGGGCAGAGGAGGAGTCAGACGGGGGTCTGCCCCGCTCAGGCGCTCCCCGCCAGCCTCCCCTGCCAGAGGGCTCGCGGTCAACTGCGTGACTCACCCCAAGAGACAGACACACGGAAAAGGGAGCCCCCCAACCCAGTCACAGGGAGGCGTGCGCTCCTGCGGGACGGGCTCGGAACGCTTACCGGGTACTTGTCCAGCGGCTCCATGAGCAGGGCGTCGCCGAAGATGAGTCTCCAAGGGACTCTTAAGAGTCTTCTCCAACACCACAGTTCAAAAGCATCAATTCTTCAGCGCTCAGCTTTCTTCACAGTCCAACTCTCACATCCATACACGACCACTGGAAAAACCATAGCCTTGACCAGACGGACCTCTGTTGGCAAAGTAATGTCTCTGCTTTTTAATATGCTATCTAGATTGGTCACAACTTTCCTTCCAAATACCATTGTAAAGGTATCCAATTCCATCAGGTTTTATGGACTGTGATTTTGATCTATAGGCTGTGGGACTTGATTTCCAATAGTCTCTATGTGCTGCATTGTTAGTACATTTTAGCAGAACTGGGGCTGTAGTAAGAATAAGTAAGTAATAAAACTTTACTGTAGTTCAAATTAATTAACAAATGTGATTCTAATTTTCATTCCTTCGACCATGACTATTATACCTGGATCATGGACTGTGCTTTTTCCTGGGAAGGGGGATGTTTTGGGGGTTCAAATCATATTGCAATGGATCCATAGGGAAAAGCACTCTCCATATCCTCTTTCTAAAAAGCATATATTTGGGGGAGGTGTTGAATGAGTTCTCTGTGCTTCCCATACAAGCCCAAGTTCACTACCTTCTTGGACTGCAAGGGAAGGCAAAGCAGAGCTTCACAAAACTTGCAGAACTCTACACGACAACTCCCAAATTCTCATCACACCCGTTTTCACCAGTTGGGGATTATCCTGTGTGACTCACGCAGCCTTTGGAATATCTTGCAGTTCTCCCAGCAGTGTCACCAGTGAAGGAAGCCCTGCCAACTGGAGCACTGACCCTAAAAACACTGGGGGTGGTTGTTAAAGGATAATGTGTTATAGTTGAGGGACAAGCAGAAAAGTGGCTGATTTGGCAGAGCATCCCTGGACATTTACAGTTCAGACACCTTTGCCCAAAAGACAGCTGGTCCCTGGGCTCCACCAAGCCAGCAGGCTCTGCAGCTGTAGATGAGACAAGCCCATTGAGTCTGGGCCTACTTGTTCCATGCTGCCCACGGGTTCTACAGGTGAGTGGAGTGGGTTGCCATCCCCTCCTTCAGTGAACCACGGTTTGTTAGAACTTTTCACTATGACTCATCTGTCTTGGGTGGCCCTGCGCTGCATGGTTCCTAGCTTCATCGAGTTACACAAGCCCCTTCACCATGGCAAGGCTGTGGTCCATGAACAACAACAACAATATGAATAACAACAACTATACTTTTCAGGTCGCACAAAAGAAACTGTCCAACCCTTCCACTTCACTTTCATGGAATGAAGCTATTAAATGGAGTCTTGCTGTTCCAACTCTGGTCCACAGATCAGCAGCATCAACAGGGCTTTGAGCTGGGTAGAAAAGCAGATTCAAGGCCTCCTGGGAAGACAGGCAAATTCCGTGTTGGAATCTCAGGTATTGAGTCAGAAAGGAAGGAAAGAAAGGAGCAGGGCTCAGGGGTCTCAAGAGGCCCCCTCTGGAGGCTTCTCATATACACTCAAGTTGGAGAACCACTGTGATGGGTGAACTAACTCACCAGGTTCCTCAAGGATGTCACTTTCCTTGAGGGTTGGAACTTGAGAGCCCCAAGTTCCTTCGTTCAGAAGCCTGGACTGAAAAGGAAGGATTTATTCCCTAACACCCTGATTTTGGGATTTCTAGTGGAGCTGTCTTCTTACTCCACTCTAGTGGAGCTGTATTCATCACTTCAGGGTGATGTTCCAGGTGTCCCTAAACACGTGGCAGGAAGACTCTGTCCTNTGGAACTTGAGAGCCCCAAGTTCCTTCGTTCAGAAGCCTGGACTGAAAAGGAAGGATTTATTCCCTAACACCCTGATTTTGGGATTTCTAGTGGAGCTGTCTTCTCACTCCACTCTAGTGAACATCACTTCAGGGTGATGTTCCAGGTGTCCCTAAACAGGTGGCAGGAAGACTCTGTCCTCTGTCATGCAGTCCCCAAATCAGACCCTGGGGAGGATTTTGCTAAACCAAAATCTTACTTGATTCCACTAAAGAATCACCTGGGCTTTTAATGCTGCAGGTGCCAGAGCCCTATCCCCAAGCCCCCGATTCACTGAGCTGGCAGTGGAGCCTTGGAACTTGCATTTGTAACAAGCCTGCAGGTAAGAAACAGCTGGTCAATGAACCTAAGTGCTTGATCTAACACTTCACCAAATCACCTGGGGTCTTAAGAAAATGAAGATTCTGAGGCAAAGACGGGTGGGACCTGAGATTCTGCATCTCTAACAAACTCCCTGATCATGTAGATGATGCTGGTCCATGGATCAACCACACTTTGGAGAGCAAGGATCTGTGTCTGACCTAAACTCTGAAACCTGCTTCACCATGAGCCAAGATGGGGAGAACAAGAGGCAGGTGTCCAGGGATAAAGGAAAATGTGTTTGAAGATCAAACATACATGCCCATCTGGCAGGGAACCTAACTGAAACAGAAAGCAAACTGAGCAGAAGTCAGAGGAGAACAAAGCAACTTTAATTGTGGGTTCTAATTGCAGAAACAAGACATTACATTTACCATGAGAGAGAAAAAAAAAAAATCCTAAAGCATTTAGAACATCAACACTGACTATCATGGAGATAAAGTGAGAGGAAAATGTTTACAAATACATTTTGAGTTTCAGGCTACACCAGCCCCAAATGGACATTTTAAAACATTGGCAGGGTGATCAGTTTTCTGACCAAGGAGCAAACCCACATCATCCAAGGTGAACTAAACCAACCTCCTTCTCTATATATGAAATATATATAAAGGATTTACAACTCCTTCCTATATATGAAGGATTTACAACTGCTGGCAATTAAGAACTTCATCCAAAATCTCACATTCTTTGTGGCTGAACCAGATGTAGTGGTTTCTTCACTTGAGTGTAGTGGAGAATTCTTTTAGTGAAAATGCTAGTTTACAAATTACAAATTAGGTGGCCCATCAGTTAACTGGGGCTTGTAAAAAAATATGATTCAAAGTCTCACTTATACAAATTCAAATACAGGTGTGGAGGTGAAGCTCAGGAATTCTGCATTTTATGGGACTGTGATATAGCAGGTGGTAGAAAAGTTGTCAGCTGCTCACGGCAGATTTCTCCTTGTATGGATAGGTAGTTTCAAATATTAGGAGAGAAAACAAAACAAAAAAAAATCAGAGGTTTCCTTCTTTTTTCCAATGTGGGTTTGTTTTGAAGGCATGGCTCAAGTGGGCTGGGACTAGGGTTCTGATTCTGGCATTTTGTATACACAGCACAAAGGAGGAAAAAACTAACTGTTGCTAGAGATGGCATATAGGTTTCAGATGTTTTGGGTATGTGTGTCCCTGTGTTGAGTAAGATTCTGAGGGTGTATCTAGTTCAGTGGAGAAGAGTGCTATAACTGATGAATGATATCCACCACTGGTTTGTTCAGCAATGAGGTGGGACAGCCCATGAGTCAAGCACAAGGTTTTACCAGCAAAGGAGAAGCTTGTCAATTTTCTTTGGGTGTGTGACAGTCCTTCAGGAAAGAACTGTGGCTGAATGATGTTGATATGTGTGTGAGGCTCAAGGACAATGGAAATAGGAAGCAAAAAACTTCCTCCCACAATAGAATTCAGCATCTTAGGATCTCACTGCCATTCCATCATCTCAGTGGTTTGGGATCAATATCATAGCATCCTAGGAAGGCTGTTTTCCTGATTTCTTTTGTTATTCGTGAATTATTAATGAACTTTTAGCAACTCAATTTCTCACTTTTTTTCAACCTGAAAGGGCTGTATTAGGGGACAACCTTTTTTTTTATTTTATGTCCAATATAGGTTTAGTTTTCATGCTCAGTTTGGCTCTCTGTATGATTGGGGTTGAAGACTAAAAAAATATGCTGTGGTTAAGGTCATGAGCCACAAAAATGTGACCACTTGCAGGCTGTTGCCTTGTGGGATGCTCTGCTTGTCTTTATCCATGTTTGGAATGCTCATGATCCTTTGGTTTAGGCTTGGGGGTGGTGTTGCTTAAACAGATGAGTTTTGAAGCCACATTAGCCAAATTTAAATCCCCACTCTAATTTTTAGCTGCATGGCCTTGGGCAAGGTACTCACCCTCTTTGGGATTCAGTTTCATCACTTGTAAAATATGGATAATGATAAAAATGTCTATTCCTAGGAGCACCTGGGTTTGTGGTGAGGTTACATGAGCTAATGCTTGGACCCTTGTTTGGCACATAATATATAGTCAATAAATATTAGCTGTTGTTTAGTTTGTGGTGCTGGTAGTTGTTGATGCCTCTCTGGCTACATGGCAAAGTCCAATGACACTCAGGGGTGGACACTCAAGTTTATGAGACTCAAGGATGGTACCAGAATTTTTCATTTTGTCTAATTTATATAGAAACGTTTCTTGAAGAAAATGAATGCACTAGACTTGGAGATATTTCTGCAAAAAGGAAATGATACATCAATCTTTCCAGGAAGTATGGTTCTTGAAAAAAAGGTGCTAAGTCATTGCTAGAGCCCAATTGCAAATAGATGGGCCGAGATGAGGAAAGTCCCAGGCACATCAAAGTTGTCACAGCAAGTGAAGTACTAAGTACAGCAACTGAAGAGGTTCTCCTTTCATTAGAAAAGAAACCGCAATGAAACAGAATAAATGCTTTTCTCTCCAGGTGCCCCTCATGAGTGCTAGAGCACTAGAAAAACTATGTGCCAAATGATTTCATCATTCACTGGATAGTTGTTTCCTAATGAAATAGAGTCATGAGCTGGTAAATGTAGCATGGATTTCCCGAGGGTAAACTAGAGATACAAATAATTATAGTTTGGTTACTTCTAAATAAGGTCTCTCTCCACATATATATAAACAAATGATTTAACTGTTTTGAAATTGCTCAAGCTGAAATTTGGTCACTACCTAACTGGTTCTTTAAGGTTTAGTGAATTCTTTAAGAATTAGTGAATTGAAGCCTGTGTTGCAAATTAGTTGGACAAAGGGAATCAGTGGCCTGGAAAAGATTTTCTACTGAAAGGAAGATAAAAAGGGATCTAAGAAATCTGTGGGACAGCTTGGGATAGGTGTTGTAGGCTTTTATGGAGAAAATTGGCTTAGGTGGTAGCTTAGGTGGTTGAATGAAACAGAGAGCTTCCCAAGTGCGCTTGTGAGCAGTGACGGTCACTACTAGCGACCACAGTGTCTGACTAGTCTTCAGACATTAATTCCAGAGACTAGAATTTTAGTTTCTTGACTTTTGACTTAATGTAGATGAGAATCTTTCTTGTTGAAGCTCTTTAGATTGAGTAACTGTATGATAAATTAATATGTACATATCTGATGTAAATGTGCCTAACTCTGATCCTCTGCCTTAAAATGAATGAAAGACGTAAGTAAAAATTACTTATTCTTTATGTGGCTCAGCAGAAAGCTTACATTGTTTTGAAATAAAATATTTACAAATATTAACAAATGGGAAACCAACAAAAATAGGATGGAGGGTGAATTTGGTGGTCTGAGTTCTGTGTAAGTACAAAGTGGCAAAATATAATTAATATATTTAATTCACCCTCCATCAGCTCTAGTGTGTAGAGAACCGGCCATTTTAGGGTGGCAAAACTGACTACAAATTTGCACACAGTAGAAAGAGCTAATGAAGGAGGTTATAAGAGCAACCACTGAAACAGAGACATGTATTATATAAGGAAATGGGTTTCATTTCACTGTAAAAAGAGGAGTCCTTAAATTAAAATCCTACCAAGGGAAGAAAATGGATTCCACAAGTCCAGTGGATCATTCTAATGTTAATGAAATTTAAACCAAAGAATCCCATCATATACAGATGAACATGTGCCACTTAATATACAGCTTAATTGAGGAACACCGTTAATAGCATCAAATATCTTAAATCTGATGAACAATGATTAAACATGCTCTATCTGGAGAAAAGACTCCCTACTGAATGTGCTGAATACTTACGAGTCCACATGGTTCTCAAATGAAAGTAGAATTGGAAAAGGTGAAGTCTTAAATGCACATTCAGCAATGGCTTCGATCACTTCCTAAAAATAAGAACATATATATTCAATAGGCCAGAAGTTTAATGTGTCTATTTTTTTAAGTTAAACCTTTAATACCATTGTCTTTTTAATTCATAGAATTGTATCAAATGGCCTAAAATGGCTAGAGGGGATTTGCAGGCTCCTGGGTTGTAAATTTTATTACTCTTCTCTTAGTAAGATAAAAGAAAGAAAACTGGATTTGGGTGGAGGGGAGTCATAATTGTGAAGGGGAATGGTTCTCCTCTTTGGTAATTACATTTATTTTTTTTAAATAATGAAAGAAATCTAATCTCATTATAAGAATTTTGGACAAAGAGAAGACAAAATACTAATGAAGGAGGTTATAAGAGCAGCCACTGAAACAGAGACATGTATTATATAAGGAAATGGGTTTCATTTCACTGTAAAAAGAGGAGTCCTTAAATTAAAATCCTACCAAGGGAAGAAAATGGATTCCACAAGTCCAGTGGATCATTCTAATGTTAATGAAATTTAAACCAAAGAATCCCATCATATACAGATGAACATGTGCCACTTAATATACAGCTTAATTGAGGAACACCGTTAATAGCATCAAATATCTTAAATCTGATGAACAATGATTAAACATGCTCTATCTGGAGAAAAGACTCCCTACTGAATGTGCTGAATACTTACGAGTCCACATGGTTCTCAAATGAAAGTAGAATTGGAAAAGGTGAAGTCTTAAATGCACATTCAGCAATGGCTTCGATCACTTCCTAAAAATGAGAACATATATATTCAATAGGCCAGAAGTTTAATGTGTCTATTTTTTAAAGTTAAACCCTTTAATACCATTGTCTTTTTAATTCATAGAATTGTATCAAATGGCCTAAAATGGCTAGAGGGGATTTGCAGGCTCCTGGATTGTAAATTTTATTACTCTTCTCTTAGTAAGGTAAAAGAAAGAAAACTGGATTTGGGTGGAGGGGAGTCATAATTGTGAAGGGGAATGGTTCTCCTCTTTGGTAATTACATTTATTTTTTTTAAATAATGAAAGAAATCTAATCTCATTATAAGAATTTTGGACAAAGAGAAGACAAAATTTTTCATCCATAAATTCATCTGTTGAATAAAATCACTGGCCGGCATTTTGTTACATTTATTTCTACATTTGTTTCTCATGTATTTGCATAACTTAGTAAATATTTTATTTGTATTTTTAATATTGTTATGAGATATAATTAATCCAAGGTATACAGCTGAAAATTTTTAATATTCACACTTTGCAGTCATCTCCCCAACCTAAGTTAAGACATCTTAATCACCCCCCACAAAGCTATGTCCCCATTAGCAGTCACTCTACATTTCTCCAACCCCATCCCACACACTCAGACACAGGCAACCACTAATCCATGTTCTGTCCCCATAGATTCACCTACTCCTAACATTTCAAATAAGTGAATCATACAACATGTGGCCTTTTATGTCTGGCCTCTTTCATTGAGCCTATTTTCAGGGTTCATCCATTCTGTAATATGTGTCAGTACCTAATTTTTCAATCTATTTTTTTTTAATGTATAGGTCACAGCTTTAATATCTCTATACAATTTTAGGGAGTGGCAGTATCATAATTTATTTAACCACTATTCAGTTGTTGGACAGACATATTTTAAGAGCTATCATTCAAATAATTCTCCAAAGAACCTCTTCATTTTCTCCCTTAAAGTTTGAATTATTTTTAAAGAATGAATTCTAAGAAGGGGAATTATTAAATTAAAAATAGGAATATTTTCCCAGTCTTCTGTGTTTCTCCAAATTACTTTTCATCTTAGACTGCCTAGAATAATAGACCATATTTCAATGCATAGTCACCAACTTTGGACATTAGTTTTTCAAAATGTTTTCCTTATTGTGCTGGTATTAAAGGATGGATATCATTTATTTTTAATTATATCACTGTCAATACTCTTGTGGCTTTGCATTCTTTTTTTAAAAAATTTTGTTTGCATTTATTCTTTACATCTTTTCCTTCTAAGTAGGAATTTTTACTCTGATTCCTTATGCCTGAGGCCTTTCCATTATCTTCTCTACCTTCCTTGAAGAATTCATAGCTTGCTTTCTATCCATGCCAGAAAGCTCTTTCTCTGGCTGCAGAGTATAAATAAGGCTTTCTAATTCTGGACTGCATTTGCATATATCCTCTAAGAAGGAATTGACTGCATGGAGCAAAAGAATCATTCACTGTTTCTTAAGAGTGAATTCACAGATTGCCTTTCATATATTATTTTAGTTGATACCATCAAAAATAAGTGTGCTATAAATAGCAAGCAATGGTCAGATTTTAAACTCTTTTATTTGATTTATTTGAGGGTGGGCTTTGGATTCAAACAGGCTTGTATTTGAATCCTTCTTCTTAGCCTTACAAGCTATGTGACCTTGAGAAAAATCACTTAATACCTCTGTACATTTAGCTTGCTGGCCTGCAAAGTGGGAGTAATAAGCCTCATTCCACAAGCTTGTTGTGAGGATGCAGAGAGAGGAGGTAAATGACGTAGCTCATGATGGGCAGATAGTCTCCAGGTAACAAGGTTACTCACCTTGCTGATGCCTCCCTGTCCATTCACCCTAAACCCAACTAATACAAACACAGCTGCCATTAGGTGAGTGTTTACATTCCAGAAAAAGATCTTATCTTATGCCATAAACATTCCCTAAGGAAAATACTATACATCATCTCACAGATTATAAAATGAAAACTCAGAGATATTAACCAATATGCCCAAGGTCACAGAGAAGAGAGTCCAAGAAACCCCAGGAAAGTCTGTCTGACTCTAGAGTTTGTGCTCTTAACTACTTTGCTAATTCCCATGCAGCTAATGACCTTAGCCACCTAAGATCAAAGGCCTCGAAAGCACAGCACTAGTCACAACAGCTAAGACATGGAAGAAACCTAACTGTCTGTTGACAGATGAATGGATAAAGAAGATGTGGTATATATATATACAATGGAATATTACTCAGCCATAAAAAGAACAAAATAATGCCTTTTGCAGCAACATGGATGCAACTAGAGGCTATCATACTGAGTAAAACAGAAAAAGACAAATACCATATGATATCACTTATATATGAAGTCTAAAATATGGCACAAATGAACCTATCTATGAAACTGAAGCAGACTCACTGACATAGAGATGAAACTTGTGGTTGCCAAAACAGAGAAGAGAGAGAGAGAGGGGTGGATTGAGAATTTGGGGTTGGTAGATGCAAACTATTACTTATAGAATGGATAAAGAACAAGATCCTATTGTATAGCACAGGAACTAATATCTAATCTCCATTATGCCATAATGGAAAAGAATATAAAACAAGAATGTATGTATGTATATTACTGAGTCATATTGTATGGCAGAGATTGGCAAAACATTGTAAATCAACTATACTTCAATTTAAAAAAAAGAATTGCAAATAGGTATCATAAGGGAAGTGGGTAGCAAATATGGGGTAAAAGGGGATAGATTTTGTTTATTTCCTACATTTGGCGCTGTTTTATTGGCTATAGGCAAAGCACATTAGAGCCATGCTTGATTCCTCTTTCTATCACATCTTTTAATTCAGCTGTAATCCTGTCCAAATGTATATTTGGAATATAACAAAATATTAGCACCTCCACCTCTATCATCCTGGTCAAAAAACTTGTAATAACTGCTAGGGTAGATTTTGTCATCATCCCCACATATTCACTCCCCTTCCTGTGATATCTGTTGACAGTGGGCATGGCCTTGTGTCTTGGTTTGGTTGCTGAAATGCGTCTGAAAATGACACAGGGTTTTGTTGAACAGGGTCTTAAAGAGCCATCTTGGCTTTTGCCATTTTCCTTTTCTGATTGCAATGAGCCTAGTGATATTTCAGATTGGAGCTGCTTTTTCTGTATGGATTACAGGTAATATAGCAAGGAGAGATAAGAAAGTGGCACTCCCCACATCTTCTATCATGACAGTTCTACAAATGACTTCATTCAATGCCCACCTTCACCCTGACTTAATAACGTGTTGCATATTTAATATTGCTACTATTTAAAAGTGTGGCTTTAAAAGTTTCAATTATAATGTCAGTAGCTAACATTTATAGAGTACTCACTATGTACCATGCATCATTCTAAGCCATGTTGTATATTAAGCAGGGTCACTGAATTCTTCCCTGGTGGCTCAGTTGGTAAGGAATCCACCTGCAATGTGGGAGACCTGGGTTCGATCCCTGGTTTAGGAAGATCCCCTGGAGGAGGGCATGGCAACCCACTCCAGTATTCTGGCCTGGAGAATCCCCATGGACAGAGAAGCCTGGCAGGCTGCAGTCTATGGGGTTGCAGAGTCAGACACGACTGAACGACTAAGCACAGCACACCTCTGGGAGGTGAGCACTGTTATCACCCCCACATGCTCCTGAGAAAGGGGCTGGATCTGTAAGAGCTTCCTGTGTAGTGCAGGCAGGCAGTGCGGGAACCCCAGCCGGCAGCTCCAGAACTGCACTCTGAACCTCAACAGTCTCCTTGCTTTCTTCCTCCCAGCCTCGCCCTCCTCCCTCTCCCCATCTCCACCAGAACTCTAGCCTTGAAAACCTTCTTGAACCTTTAAACATTTACTGAATTTCATCTTACAACTTTACTAGTAGTTGTTCAATCATTAACTTGTGTCTGACTCTTCTTGTAACCTCGTGGACTGTAGCCTGATCGGCTCCTCTGTCCATGGGACTTTCCTTCTGGGAGTGGGTTGCCATTTCTTTTCCAGGGGTCTTCTTGACCCAGGGATCGAACCTGCATTTCCTGCATGGCAGAGGGATTCTTCATCCCTGAGTCACCTGGGAAACCCTAACAATCTGACTTGAGAGAACTTGAAAAAAAAGTTCCCTTGGAGGGCTTTTGGTTTTTCATAGCTTTGGAATACTTTGCATGGAGCACTTGATTGCTGAGGATGAGACCAGTCATAATTTTTAAGTTTGGTTCTTTCACATAAGCTGTCCTTAGTAGACCATGGGCCTGAAAGTACCTTACTGCTTGATTGTTGGCCCAACAATAAATAGGCGGTAAATGCCAATAGGAACTTTTGCTGTGGGGATATATCATAGACCTCACAAAGCTTTCCAGATCACATAGACTGAAAGCAGATAAACTGTGTGACATCAAAGTGATAGACTTTTGCACTTGGTTTATTTTGCTGCTGCAATACACACTGTGGCTATAGAATATAGTCTAATTACACTATGCAAATCAGACCCAAATATACAGGCTAGCCCAGACAGGAAACATTGAGAGAATTTTTTCACCACCTATCAACATATGGAATTTTACAGCAAAAATGGAGAAAGACAAAATTCATCTACCTGATGAACAGAGGCAAGAAAGACTAAAAATGAAGTCTCCACTATAATTTGTCTATTTGCTTGGGGATGGAAATAAAGTGACAAAGTGTTAGTTGTTCAGTTATGTCTGATTCTTTGAGACCTCATGGACTGTAGCCCACCAAGCTCCTCAGCCCATGGGATTCTCCAGGCCAGAATACTGGAGTGGTTAGCTTTTCCCTTCAGGGGATCTTCCCAAACCAGGGATCGAACCCAGGTCTCCCACTCTGAAAGCAGATTCCTTACAGTCTGAGCCATCAGGGATGGAAAAAGTGGCAAAATTCTGTAAAGCAATTAACCTTCAATAAAAAATAAATTAATTAAAAAAAATTTTTGTTGTTCAGTTGCTCAGTCATGTCCGACTCTGTGACCCCACTGCAGCATGCCAGGCTTCCCTTCACCAACACTTATTATATGCCAGTTCTTTTAAAAAAATTTTCAAGATTTTTTTTATGGACCATTTTAAAAGTCTTTATTGAATTTATTACAATATTGCTTCTATTCATGTTTTGGTGTTTTGGCCATGAGCATGTGGTCTCTTAGCTATCTAACCAGGGATAGAATCCACACCCCCTGCATTGGAAGGTGAAGTCTCAACCACTGGACTCCAGGGAAGGCCTTGTGCCAGATTCTTTTTAAAGTGCTTGGGACAGATTAGAAAACAAAACAAAGATCCCTATTTTTATGGTGCTCAGTGCTATTAGAAGGACACAGCTAATGCTGCTAATGGTAAAAAATCTGCCTGCCCATGCAGGTGATATAAGAGACACAGGTTCGATCCCTAGGGCAGGAGGATCCCCTGGGGAAGGAAATGGCAACATACTCCAGGTATTCTGGCCTGGAAAATTCCAAGGACAGAGGAGCCTGGTGGGCTACAGTCCATGGGTCACAAAGAGTTGGACATGACTGAGTGAACACACACAACACACACAGCCAAAAAAGAAGAAACTCAATAAATAATTGAGTAAATAAAGCAGAGTGTTAGAAGGTGCCACTTGGTAAATGGAAGGAATAAAGTGATGGGGAGCAGACCAGGAAGGTGGGAGTGGGTGTGATGGCTGATCACAGTATTAAATAGGTCCCAGGAGGCCTCCTTGAGAAGGTGGCATTTGAGAAAGGCTTCAAGGAGTTGCCTGGTGGCTCAGATGGCGAAGAATCTGTTTGTAATGCAAGAAACCCAGGTTTGATCCCTGGGTCAGGAAAATCCTCTGGAGGAGGGAATGGCAACCCACTCCAGTATCCTTGCCTGGAGAATTCCAAGGACAGAGGAGCTTGGCAGGCTGTAGTCCATGGAGTCGCAAAGAGTCGGACATGACTGAGTGACTAACACTTTCAAGGAGTTAAGAGGTGAGCTATTCAGATAACTGGGGGAAGGCCATCTCAGCCAGAGGCTGTGAGGTGCCCCTGCCTCACTTGGTCAGGGAATGGCACAGAGCCCATGGAGCTGTGGCCCAGGGAGTCATGGCCAGGGGCGCTGCGGGTGAGAGAGCATGGGGCTGGGGCCCCGTTTTCCCTTCTTCCTTTATGAAAAAGTCACTGCACACAGTGGGTTCTGGAAAAGCAGGCTGCATGCTGATAACCAGGCAGAGCACAGCTGGGACTTGGGTGAGGCAGATGAGGTGCCTCAGTGCAAAACTTAAAGAGATGTTCAATTTCAGGTGCCACCTCTGCATTTACACACCAGTGAGAACAGACACCTCCAGAAGTCTTGCATGTAAGACACTTCACTCACCTCCCTCTAGTCCTAATCCTGATGCAGAGAATTCCTGCTTTGTTTCTACAAACAGGCTGGCCCCACCCACCACCACCACCAGACACTCTCCCACATCTCTGACAGAATTATCTATCCTGCAAACACACAATGGCAGGAAGCAGAGCTGTGCCAACCAACCGCCAGGATGACGAGTTTCCTGCTCATTTTTGGCTGCACCTCACCCTCAACTGCAGTAGGCAGAGAGAGGAAGCAGAATTCTGAGCTAGATTTGGTTTTTTAGTCTCTAAATCTGTCAACAAGTGTGTGCATGTGGTTGAAAAGTGCTTCTGGAGCCCAGGAGTAGATGCTCACCAGCCCATGACTCTGGGATCACAAACGTGATTGAAGGACCACTTGTAAGGTCGAGTGAACAGGGAAAGTCATTCTAAGCTGACTTGATGGCTGAGGCAAGAAGCAGGAGCTTCCCATGAAATAAATATGCCTTAGAATGTGCTTGGTGTTTATATGCCCCCTATAGTCCCCCTTACCCCTAAAGGAACTCTAACAACCTTGAGGATTATAAATGTTTAAGAAAATACAATTGCTCCTCATATGGACTCATGAGGGGATGGTGGGCAGAGCTGTGAGTGGCCCTCCTGGCAGTGGATATGTGCATAAAAGATGCTTACTCCTTGGAAGGAAAGTTATGACCAACCTAGATAGCATATTAAAAAGCAGAGACATTACTTTGCCAACAAATTGGCCACCTGATGTGAAAAACTGACTCATTGAAAAAGACCCTGATGCTGGGAAAGATTGCAGGCAGGAGAAGGGGACAACAGAGGATGAGATAGTTGGATGGCATCACCAACTAAATGGACATGAGTTTAAACAAGCTCCAGGAGTTGGTGATGCACAGGGAAGCTTGGCGTGCTGCAGTCCATGGGGTTGCAAAGAATCGGACACAACTGAGCAACTGAACTGAACTGAAGCTTCAAAAATCATGAAAAGTCAATTTCACAACATAGTAAATACATTTTAAGGTGTAAATATTCCTTCTGAACATTTTATTTTTTTGCTGTCAAGTAAAATATCAAGAAATTCATCTGTCTAAACTGAATCCTGGTTGTCCCTTGAAAATCTCGGTTCTTTTTGCTGCCCTCTCAAATGATAGATGTTCATTTTATCACATCCCAACTGTTTCAGGGCTAAAAGCTGGGTATTGGAAATTTTTTGCTCCCAATGCTACTCCTGTGGAGAAGGAAATGGCAACCCACTCCAGTATTCTTGCCTGGAGAATCCCATGGACAGAGAAGCCTGGTGGGCTATAGTCCATGGGTTCCAAAGAGTCAGACATAGCTGAAGTGACTTACCACAGCACATTCTTTATATATGTTGTATTTCACAATGATGAAATACAATTTAAAAAACAAAGAATGTGCTAAATAGGCAAATAAATTGATATTTCTTTTTGTAAGACAGCTTCCTTAGATGCTGGTGATCAGTTCACCTGATGCCAATCACTCATGTAAAAACTGCTAAGTTTTTAGCCTCAGAAATGGCAAATATGATTACTTTAAATTATTTAAAATAAACCTATGGACTTAACTGTGACCCTTATACTGCTAAACCTGCTAAAGCAGGTTTTACCCAAAAAGGGGGTCAGGTCTCACTATCTTCTTCTCTTAGTAATCTTCATTCACTCTACCTTGAAGGATATTTCTGTGGTCATGGTGAACCCATGGGTGATGACTGGCTCCTCTTCTGCAGTTCGTCCCTTCCAGCAGTCCAGCTCCACACAGCGACAGCCAGACAGGAGCACTTGGCGATACATCTCAACAGAGGAATTTCCAGCCAGCTGGCCAGCTGTAAAATGTCAACAAAATGAACCTCAGACTCTCACAAAGTGAGGAACACGCTGATGGTCTCCTAGAAGAGATCTTCAACAATGGGAAAACAAAGAGTTCAAGACCTTGAGTAGTTCTCAGCCTTTCTTCTGTCTTAACAAACCAGAAGGTAGTAACATAACCCCAAATGGAAATATGGCCCCCTAGCAGTGGTTTGGAGAAGAGAGACTAGAGGATATGTAACAATAACAGCAACTCATGTTTATTAACTGTTAATCATGTGCCAGTTATAATTCTTTGAACTTTATATATATTACTATATATAATTCAATTCATATTCATATATATAATTCAATTCATTGAATCTTCACAAAAATCTGCCTAGTGTAACTCTGTTTGTTATTAAATGCCTATTTTCAGATAATAAAAATGGCATAGAACATTTTATTTGTCCAAGTTCCTAAAGCTGGTAAGTGGAAGATCAGGATTATAACTTCAAAACTCAGTCTTGTCATTCTGACCCTCTCTATGAAGAAGTATTGTTAACAGGCTATTGTGTTATACAAGTCAAACCTTCTGTCATTTTTGTCCAAGGCACAAACACTTAACATAGCTAAACATTATCTTTGCAAAATGGAAATAACTTTGTAGAAATAAACTTAAATTTGGCAAATGAAGTGTAAAATTTGTACTCTAATAATTATGAGACTGTTTAACAAAATTAAACAAGATCTAGTTAAATGGAAAGACATCCCATGCTCATGGAGCAGAAGACTTAAAATTGTTATGGTGGCACTACTTCTCAAGTTGATTTACAAATTCAACTCCCATAAAAATCATATCTGTCTTTTTTGTACAAATTGATCCCAAAATTCATATGGAAATTTAAAGGACCCAGAATAGCAAAAATGATTGTGAAAAATAAGGACAAAGTTGGAAGACTTCCCAGCTTCAAACTTAACAACAAACTCCAGTGATCAAGGCAGANAATTCAACTCCCATAAAAATCATATCTGTCTTTTTTGTACAAATTGATCCCAAAATTCATATGGAAATTTAAAGGACCCAGAATAGCAAAAATGATTGTGAAAAATAAGGACAAAGTTGGAAGACTTCCCAGCTTCAAACTTAACAACAAACTCCAGTGATCAAGGCAGAGTGGTACTGGCATAAGATTCGACACATAGGTCAATGGAATAAAACTGAGACTCCAGAGATGAGCCCTCACAATTATGTTAAACTGACTGACATCTAGGGTTCTAAAACAATTCACTGCAGAAAATCATCTTTTTAAGTAGTGGTGCTAGGATAGCTGAATTGCCATATGAAAAATAGTGAAGCTGGATTCCTATTACATCATATACAGAACACACACACACACACACACACACACACAATCAATCAGGCTCCTAACTGTATGGGCTAAAATGATAAAACTCTAAACAGAGACTGTAAATTATTGTGACTTAGATTAGGCAATTGTTTCATAGATATGACACCAAAAGTACAAATAACAAAGAAAGAAAATAGACAAAATTTACCAAAATTAAAAACCCTTGGGAGCAGAACTGAAATTCTCTAGTAAAATGATATGAATTGTAGTCAACAAGCACTTGAGAAATCTGTGGGCAGGAGTAGAAGCCAAACTATTTCTGTTTCACTTAAGAAGTCAATAGCAGGTTGTAATTTCTTGATAAATTATTTATGTATTTATGGTTGCACCTTGCAGATTGCAGGATCTTGGTTCCCTGACAGGCCTTGAACTCAGTTCATGGCAGTTACAGCTCCAAGTCCTGACCACTGGATTGCCAGGAAATTTCCTTGATAATTTTTTTTAAAGATTAATAATAAGTTTTGAAACAAGCCCACTACCATCAACACACAAATGGAAGTTTTTGGCTTTCCACATTAAAGATTTTCTGTGAGCTATATTCTGTAAGCCTCCATTTTTTCAGCAGTCATTTAAAACTGATATATCAATGAAGACTGTCAAAATGATTTTGAAATGGACAAGATCTGCTCAGTGGAGACACACAGGACACAGAAAATGGGATTAAACCTATTGGCTTAATTTTAGTTTTATATGCATCTCACAGCATCCAGTATCAGCATAGCAACAGGGTGACATTTTTTGGTTCTCTAGAGCCCTAGTAAATGCATGGAAAGGCTGATTAAGTATGTTTGCAAAATCACTTTTCTTTACTGGAAAAAATAGGGCATTTTAAATACACAAATATTTGCAAAAGCAGAAATGCTGACAAAATAAGCTAGAAAGTTTCTGATGCTAGATAATTAATTTGCCATTTATAATAACCTCAAAGTTTGTTGTAATAAAGGTCTTCGCTGCATAAATGAAAAAGGGAGAGTGGGAGTGAAGGAGAAATGATGGTCATTTATATGTTATTCTTAAGGGAGGGTTACTTTAGCTAAGGAAATTTATGACCAACCTAGACAGCATATTAAAAAGCAGAGACATTACTTTGCCAACAAAGGTCTGTCTAGTCCAGGCTATGGTTTTTGCAGTGGTCATGTATGGATGTGAGAGTTGGACTGTGAAGAAAGCTGAGCACCAAAAAATTGATGTTTTTGAATTATGGTGTTGGAGAATACTCTTGAGAGTCCCTTGGACTGCAAGGAGATCCAAGCTGTCCATCCTAAAGGAGATCAGTCCTGGGTGTTCATTGGAAGGACTGATGCTGAAGCTGAAACTCCAATACTTTGGCCACCTCATGCGAAGAGTTGACTCATTGGAAAAGACCCTGATGCTGGGAGGGATTGGGGGCAGGAGGAGAAGGGGACGACAGAGGATGAGATGGCTGGATGGCATTACCGACTCGATGGGCATGGGTTTGGGTAGACTCTGGGAGTTGGTGATGGACAGAGAGGCCTGGCGAGTTGCAATTCATGGGGTCGCAAAGAGTCGGACACGACTGAGCAACTGAACTGAACTGAACTGAACTTTAGCTAAAGAAGCAAAGAATTCAAATAATTAATCAGGTTAACTCATTAAAAATGCTAGGCCCTGCAGACAATTGCACAGCTATTCAAGAGTAGAGCAGATTTTCTTGTGTACTACCTAGGATATTAAGTATATTACTGACTATATCCAATACTGCTAGATAATGTGCAATTTCATTAATATTTTGTTAAGTGTTACTAACTTCGGTAAGGAAGCTGTTGGTAGGAAACAACCTTTAGAAGAATGACATAGCCCAAGGACATGACATAAACTGATTAGAACCAGTAAACATCCAAGATGGTAAACAAGTCCACTTCCACTCTACCTCAAACCTCAGTGTACACTCATTGTAACACATCAAGTTAAATGACACATCCACAGGCACCATGACAGCTCCAAGTAGTTGTTCAGTCACTCAGTCATGTCCAACTACTTGTGACCCCATGGACTGCAGCACACCAAGTTTCTTTGTCCTTCACCATCTCCCGGAGTTTGCTCAAACTCATGTCCTTTGAGTTGGTGATGCCATCTAACCATCTTGTCCTCTGTGGTCGCCTTCTCATCCAATCTTCCATCTTTCCCAGCATCAGTGTTTTTTCCAATGAGTCAGCTCCTTATATCAGGTGGTCAAAGTATTGGAGTTTCAGCATGAGTCCTTCCAATGAATATCCAAGATTGATTTACTTTAGGATCTCCTTGCAGTCCAAGGGACTCTCAAAAGAGTCTTCTCCAACACCATAGTTCAAAAGCATCAATTCTTTGGCATTCAGCCTTATTTATGGCCCAACTCTCACATTCATAAGTGACTACTTGAAAAATCATAGCTTGAACTATACAGACCTTTGTTGGAAAAGTTATGTCTCTGCTTTATTTATTCACTTATTTTTGACTGTGTGGGTCTTCGATGCTGTATGTTGGCCTTCCTTAGTTGTGGTGAGGGGGACTACTCTCTAGTTGTGATGCACAGCCTTCACATTGGTTGTCTTGTTGCTGAGCATGGGCTCTAGAGAATGAGTTTGGTAGTTGGGGCTTGGTTGCTCCATGGCATGTGGGATCCTCCTGGACCAAGGATCAAATCCATGTCCCCTGCATTGGCAGGCCAATTCTTAACCATTGGACCACCAGGGAAGTCCATGTGTCTAGGTTTGTCATAGCTTTTCTTCCAAGGAGCAAGTGTCTTTTCATTTCATGGCTGCAGTAACCATCCACAGTAATTTTGGAGCCAAAGAAAATAAAGTCTCTCACTGTTTCCATTGTTTCCCCCATCCATTTGCCATGAAGTTATGGGACCAGATGCCATGATCTTCTTTTTTTGAATGTTGAGTTTTAAGCCAGGTTTTTCACTCTCTTCTTTCAATTTCATTAAGAGGCTCTTTAGTTCCTTTTCCCTTTCTGCCATAGGCATGTTGTCATCTGCAAATTTGATGTTGTTGATATTTCTCTCCACAATCTTGATTCCAGCTTGTGCTTCATCCAGCCTGGCATTTTGCATGATATAATCCAAGGCCAACCATTAAAGACAAAAAATTGGGCAGTGGCCCAATTTCTGGAAATCTCTGTCCTTTCTCCCAAATAGTTGGAATAATCTTACCACTCATTCGCCCATGAAATTACCCAACCCACAAAAATTAACCATACTACATTTTAGGGCTGCTCTTGCCTTCTTAGATGGTCTACACTCTGTCTGTGGAGTGTAATTCTCTCTAAATAAGTCCACTTCTTACCTATCACTTTGTCTCTCACTGAATACTTTCTACAGTGAGACATCAAGAACCAGAACTTCATTAAGTCTTGAGACCAGGTGTGTGATCTCAGTTAAAAGACTGTGGGTTCAAATTCTAATCTGAGTTGCATGGTTTTACACTGAAGGTATATATTAATTAACCCACAGCAGATTGTTTGTCATAAAAGATTCAAAATGTTTCCAAAACAGTTTTTTTTTTGGATTTTCTTGCTGCACATATATTTTTTATCATTCAAACAGAAGGGATTTGATATACTTCTTGAACGTTGATCAGTTAATATTTTGAAAGACATGGTAAGGCAAGGAGTTGAGTGTG